ACACACAAATGCAATGCTGCGTGCGTGGAAAGTGGATAGTGGAAAAATTCTAGCAAATAAGATGAAATGCAATGCAATTAAAATTTCCATTTAACTTTATTCTATTTGCCACATACTTGCGCAATGTCAGTTGGTGAGCGCGCAAAAATGCCATTAAAAGCGACTACAAAGCGGGCAAAAAATGCAGCAGCGTCAAGCACTATTATTGTGGCACACACAAGCGGGATATAAGTTCGCAGGCTTACGTGTGTTGTTGTATGTGGCATGCATGCACGCTTATCAAGGTAAACACTTGTGCAACGTAATTAAATCACCAGCGGCAACAAAGTGAGAAGCTTTGTAACATAATTTAACTTCAGCTGCCTAGGCACCCGCTTTAGCCGCCGTTAACCGCTTTTGTTGCTCCAGGCAGCAGCAACAACAACAACAGTCAAGCGAGCTGCCACAACCACACTGAGCAGCGTTTTGGCGTCCCTCTGCTTTTCGGTCTATTTAACTGACATTTTTATTTGACTTGCGCTGAGATGTGCATGTTCCACCTGCTACGCACACACACACTTAGGTATATGTGTGCTTCTTAGCGCGCTGCACTTCTACTTGCGACTTGTCCGCCGCAATTGTGGCACAGCAGCCATAAATAGTGCAAATCTCATTTGCTACCAGCAGCAGCAGTCAGCAGCTGGCGACATTTTCTTTCACTTTGTTGCCTGCCTTTTTTACGCTTTTTTTGTTTGTTCTGCTGCTGGAAAATCACTTCGGTTTGCATTTCGTTGAGTGCAACTTCAACTTCCTTTCTACTTACGATCCAATTGCACAAGCTGGACCAAACCTTTCTTTGCTATGCTTTTGCAGCACGAAACATTTTTCGCCGCAAATACAGTTGTTGTAGTTGTTAAGTGGATACGAGGTCGTTGTGATAAATATAGAAAAGAGAATTTAGGGAAAATTTACTTTGAAACAAAAAAATAAAAAATTATATATCTTCCATCAATTTCTTGTAGGAGTCATGCTTATATTCTCAGCCAGTATATCCTAACCTAAACTATTACTATATTTATAACAAAATCTAAAATCGATTGGAAATTCTTTTCAGTGATCTTCAAGTTAAAGTAAGGTTGCTTAATCAGGAAATCAGATACTTTATGAAAATCTTTAACTAGATTTTAATCGATTTGGACAACTGCTCATGCGAAATTTCTTGAAATAAAAATATTTTCCATACAACTATTAGATTTTGATCAATCACTTTATATGGTAGACCTTTTGCTATAATGGTCCGATCTGAGCACTATATTTAGAGATTATCTTGGAAATTACATTACAAATTTCGTTGTGATACTTTGTCAAATAAAGAAGTTATTCATACGGAGACTTGATGATCTGGATGATTTGGGCAAATATGCGGCTTCTTGGGGGAAAACGACGTGTTGAAGTTTTAGATCTATCTAAGTATACCTCAAATACTGAGGAATTATTTCGGTCATCAGCAACATCATTTATATACTTTATAGTGTATCCAGCATCCCCTTCAACGTGGTAAAAAATTCGAAGCAAACTTAATACAACCTATTCTGGGCATAAATATTGATTACTGATTTTTATTTACTAAAAGGTAGCATTGTGAGCTGACATTTGAATTGTTGCCTAGCTTTCGGCGCAATGTCTTATATACTTGGACCTCCATAATTGGGTATTTTGAAAAATCAGAGCGATAGCCTTGGTAGCATATAACAATAGGATACTAGACAGCGAGATTGGCAAGAAATAATCGACAAAAATAAGTTCCGGGGAAAGTCTCTTAAACCGCCGGTAATAAAACAATTGGAGCATGTGTTTGAGAGCTAAGAAGTTATATTCATGCTATTTTCTAACACGCTTATAAAACAATTTTAAATCATTACAAGGTTTGATGACAATATTTGAATTCTAACTTGAGTGTAGGCAACTCCTTCTGGTATTAGAACTCACTATACTCTAATATATGCTATTGTCATCTGTAAGAAGAGACTAAGTGGACTGCATACGTACCCCTTAACAAATATTGCAATCTGGTATTTTTACTATCGCACCTTGATCCAACATCGTATCCTTACCAATCGGTGGAATTTAAGTTAAGCAAAAATGGTTTCGTAATTTCTAAATAATTGTGGCAAAATCTGGGGTATAAAGTTCATTTTTGACACCAAACATTCAACACGACATGTCACAGTACAATACGTACTAAGCACATTGTGGGAATTGGCCCACAACGAACTACACTATAAAATAAAATATGTGCTCTGCAATAAAAAGACTTTCGCATTTACCTTTAGTTAACGCCAAAGTAAATAATTATTAATATCATCTTAGTCACAAAAGCTCAAAAGCCCAAAAAGCATCAACAGAGCTTTCACATATTTGCTTAGAGAGTTTCAACTGAGCTTTCATAAAAGCTTTCACATATTTGAAAGATTAGAAAGTAACTTACTTAAATGTTAGAATACTTGTATTTTCCCAGCTATTATTAATAATATACATAGATAGTTGTTATGTAAATAATACACACAACTCTCCATTATTTAAGGAAAAAAAACGTATATGTCCGTAACCCGCAAACTGCCACTGTTACAAATGACTCCAGCAGCCGAATCTCTTCCTTCCTCTCACCCACCCTACATATACATAGATAAATACACTCGCTTATCGCTTGGTCATTTCACAGGTTTTTCTATTTCGTTAGACTCAGCAGCAATCGGCTCAAATCGTCGCACATTAAGTTGTAAACAAAGTATTTTTGCGATTATTGTTGGTGGTGGCAAATGCAATTCTGTTGTTACGCAAATGGAAACGTCATAAACATTTCACAGCCGCACGACGCAGCCGCTTTCTGCTTCACTTTACTTCACTTCATTTCAGTTTAGTTTTAGTGCTCTTCTTATTATTGTTGTTGTTTGATTTCCTTATATATCACACTGTCGTTTTATTACTTTAAATTTCTGTTTTTTTTTTTTTGCTCTCTTGTTTTTATTCGGGCGCAATTTCACAGCCAATCTAAGTTTGTAATTTGATGTCGTTTAAAGTTGAAATCGCTTATCCGATTTGATGATTTTGTGACCACAGTTTGCTATTTGCAGTTGACGAATTTATTACACCGTGTTGCGTATGTCTGTACCTTTTAACGTTGTTACGAAATTACGCGGACATTTTTATGGAAGCTGTTCTGGTAGCAGCAAAAGTATTTTAACTTTTGAGATAAAGCGGCAAATTGCTTTAATTTTTTAATTTGGTCATTTGCTAGTAGATAAATGGAGTAGCTTAGATTGCTATTTATTTGTAAATTTTACTTTTTTTCCATTGCAAATGAGGCGTTAAAAGTGAAGAACTTTTAAATATATGTATTAGCGTTCATATTAATATGTCAAGATTAAAATTTACATTTTAAAGATTCCTACTGAAATTTTTCATTAATATTTGAATATCTGGTGAAGTCTGTTTGCCTTATTACTCTCTAACTTATTGCTTTTCCGAATTCTAAACAAACAGTCGCTTATAAAATAATATCTTTCGGAGCGCTCCTTATCTAAAAAAAAAGTACTTTCAGAAAGATACTAAAGAGTTTATACTTTTGAAATAATTGCGAGAATGTGATAGTGTTTAACTAATAAGGATTTGCTTAAGTTTGAAAGAAACCAAAAAGTGATAAAAATCATTACTTCATATACTTGTAAACGATGTCGACTAACTTCCTTTTACTTACCAACTTTAGAAAATTCTGCTGCAACGCTAAACAATATTTGTGCGGAGGTCTTACTGGAGATCGAAAGAATCAGATATTATAACTTAATCGCAATGCACCTCGGCTTAGAACAATTTGCTATTTGCTAATTTTGTATTTCTAGCCAAATTTCCTATGCGGAACCATTGCGAATGTTGGAAGAGGCTTAAGCTGATTCAGTTTTAACAAAACACAAACCTACAATTGGTACAAAGCCTTCAAAGATGGTCGAGAGATCGTTGCCTGGTTCTGGACGATCATCGACCTCTTCAACGCATGAAATTATTAAAAAAGTGAGGAGATGGTGCTTGGAAATAATCACGCATTTGCTAGAGAGATGGAAGAAGAGCTCAACATCTCACGCGAGTCTGTTTGAAAGATTTTGGTGGACATTTTGGGTGTGAACGCGTTGTAGCTTGACTCGTCCCGATAAAGCTAAATTTTTCCAAAAGGAGTACCGTATTCAGGTCTCTTTGGACATGATTGATCGTGCGAATTCCTTTGCCACATTCATTGAGAGAATTATAACTGCCGATGAGATATTTGTTAATGAGTTTGACATTTAAACAAGTCAACAATCATTGAAAAGACAATCATCGAAATCGAAATCACGCTTTCTAAAACTCACTTCGTTTACCAGAAAATTTGGTTATGTTTTCAAATTAGGATGGCGAAGAGTATATGAAACCTTGCTGAAGCCTTATCTTGCTGCTAAGAAAATTAATTAAACTTGTATTAGGATAGATAAAAGAGGGATAGTACGTAAACTGGAAACCACCAAAGCGACTGCTGTGATGAGGTTGAAAGTAAAAGTCAATATGCCACTTATAAAGATTTTCAATTTTATTTCAAAACAATTTTGAAAATAAAAATTCCACAAATGTTCTGTGTGAAAATGAATTCAAATTTTAAATTCTCGAAGTTTCAAGACTGTTGATGGAAGCTGACAGAGCTTTTCTCAAATATTTCTAAATTTCAGATTTCAACCGAAAGCATATATTATTATTATATTACTTACCTGTTTCAGTCATGCTGCTTTCACCCTCTCGCTAAGCGCAACTGAAGTAAATAAAATTTGTATTCAAACTAATTCCAAGTTTGTCGCTTAAGTCTTTAGTTTTACGGGCATATTTATAACATATAATAATTCCAACTTATTAAGCATAAACTTTAATTTATGTAACTGTAAATATCACATTATTTTTGCAACTACATAATTCTTGTTTATCTTTCCACTTTTTTGCAGAATAAAATCAGCGAACGGTAATGGTGAGTATAATCACAGATTTTCACATGAATTATAGGGCTTAAAAAGATGTAGAGAGTAAAAAATTGTATAAATAAATAAAAAATCGCAAAACTGCAGTGGCTCATGAGAATGGGTGTATATGTTGGTGAGTTTGTATGCCTATATATGAAAACGGCGTATCGCCGCATGACTTTTGAAAAAAATAAGTTAGCAAGCAACTTGCCACATGCGGCATACATGTATTTACATTAAACGACGCATAATCTAAATCACATACACAATAAGTAAGTAGATAGTGTGCAACAATAACAACAACAAATACAGCAGAAAGTCTCACTTACAAAGCGCAAATTGTGTGTGGCGCTCGGAAACTTAACTTAACCGTTAAAATTCCGCTGTCGGGTAAAGTGACAAATGCGCGATAAAATTTTGCAATTTTTCTTAAGTCTTTTTTCATTCCTTCTTTGTTCATTTTTTTGTTTGCAACAACAAATTATTTTTCTCAAGCGCTTTTCCAGGCGATTTGCAGACTTATGAGCAGTGAGTGGCGGCCAAATGGCAGCTGCAGTGGCAACAGTATGGCAATATTTTCTTGCAAAAAGCATTTGCGCACCTACACAACTATATATTAGCTGTATTTGCCGCAAGCCCTTGTCCGCGCTGTGCTATCGCGCCGCTTATCTGCTGCTGCACGCTTAAAAAGCCAGTTGACTTAGACGCCAGATTAAGTTTGAGTGTCAATAATGTCGCAAATGCGAATGCAACAACAACAACGCAGCCTTACCAAGGCAGTATAACTGAAGGCGAACGCGCAACACGACAACAAATTGCTGACATGTAGCGCTTACCTACGCGCCGTTTCAGGGTGTGAGCGCGTTTACGTTGCAATTAATTGATGCACTGTGACGATAAACCGTTTTTTGCGAGGCGAATTCGGCAATTTCAATTTCAAATTCAATTTGCATTTTAAAACGTAATTTCGCTAATGCGCCGGTGAAACGCAAAGCTGCGTGTAGGCGGCGTTGCATGCGACTAACGCCACAGCGATGAGATAAACAATGGAAGACGCCGAATAAAGTAGAAGCGGGAAATCTCGCAAACCTAACAAATTGTGTGGAGGAAACTGTAAATGAAAATGCCGACGAAAACACCGTAAAATCTTTGCGCAAGCACACGCACACAATCACACATTGGGACATGACAAATTTAGCTGCGATTATTGCATTAACGTTCGCTGCCTGTCTGCAACAGCTGCTGCAGTGTCAGTGTTGCACGCGGCATACTCACATGCACACACACACACACTCTCCAAAACATGAAATTATTTTTAAACCAATTTTACACTCGCTGGCATCTTGTTATGCTCTATGCTGCGTGGCCAACAAAAACAAAGCAACAACAACAACAAACAATCTGCAATGACTAGCATGAGAAGGCCGCTAATTTAATGCCAACATCACCACGCAACTGCTACGCTGCTGATGTTGCATGTCGCGATCTGTACGCTTGTTGCATGCAACCATGCGCAACGAAATATTCACTCTACTCATAACTTAAATGAGCCAGAAACACAGCAATGAAATGGTAATAATAGTAAAGGCACAGCCAACAACAACAACTAATTGCACGTTTACGCAATTGCTTGCGACTAGGCTGCTTGTTGCAACATCAGTGCGCCAGAATTCACCGTAAATGTGGCATCAACGCAAGCGACAAAGTGATGGAAGATAGCAAATATTTTAAGTGTACAACAACAAGTACAACTGCTGCTAAGTAATGTGCCAAGGATTTTATTTATTTATACAAGCCAATGCTTGTGTGCGTGTATGTGTGTGCATGTGTTTACCGTTTGCAATAACAGCGCAGCAATTGAGGCTGAAACATTGGCAATTTGCTCTCGCTTAAGTGAGCAGTTCGGCAGCTAATTAAGTGAAAGTGCGCAGAATTAAATAGGGAGTATATTCACGGAGACTTATTTTTATATGCAAGCATAAGATATATGCGCAGAGTCATAGATTTTTTTKTTTTTAATCATTTACCGAGTATTTGCAAGAACTCTCTTATTTCTTTTTGAATTCTTTGACTTTGTTGCTTTGAGATTTTGAGTAATTTGAAATACTTTTCAGTTATTGTACAACAAAATTTTTTAGACTAAATAATTTTAGACTAATTAAAGTCATTAATTTTAAAAAACATTATTTATCGAAATTATCATTCGAAAAAACATTTCTCGACATTTATTTTTTGAAGATTATCTCTTTGAAATATTGACCGCGGCTATGTTTCAAATGGTCCAACCGTTGAGTGCAATTTTCGACGACTCGTTCGAGCACTATTTCTGGCAAATGACTCGCGTGTTGTTTTGCTCCAAGGCCTGAATTAAAGCGGGATTGCCTAGACTTTAAACTTTACATATCCACACTGAAAGAAGTCTAACGGTGTGATATCACACAATCTTGGTGACCAATAGACGGGCCCAAAACGTGAAATTATCTGCTCACTGAAGTGTTCTTTCAATAAATCTATTGATTAATGCGATGTGTGGGAAGTGGCGCCGTCTTGTTGAAACCAAATGTCGCGAGTTCATGAGCTTGAATTTCAAATATATTATTATGGCGTGATAATAGTCTCCATAAACAGTTACGTTCTCTCCAGCAACATTTTTGAAGAAATATGCATCGATGATGTCGTTTTTTCTGGATGAAATGGCTCTTCTAAATCGACCTCAATGGTTGTATGAGTTCTAGCTGGACACTGGACGAGCTTTTCAAGCAGTAAAATTGAACATCATACTAGATGCCAGCGGCGTTAGCTGTTTGGAAAAAAATTAGATAAAATCATCTCAACATTTCCTTCACAAGTGTCCAGCTTTTGTCAGTTCAAAGCAAAATCACGTTTGATCCAATATTTTTTTATAACTTAAGCAGATTTTTGATCGGTTCAGAGCGTTTTGCCGATAGCTAATATCCACCTAAAAGAGTTTTTCCTACGTCTTCACAAATTACTGCACTTAAAAGTCTAAGTTTGATACCCTGTTCGAGGGATGAACTATCTAATCTAACCTAATCTAAATTTTAAACAAAATTTCGTCAAATTTTGTTTAATTGATTCGGTGAAGGGCTTAGTATAAACACCAAATTGGCATTTCTTTCCTTATAAAATTCTTTTCAATTACTAAATTTCAGTTCCACATCTTAAATTTTCCGCAATTTAGTTGATTAATTGTCTGCTGAGGCTACCTCACAAATATGCCAACAATACTAAGTCAATTTTTAATTCTCAACTAAACCCCCTCTTCACTGCCCAAATCGAGGAATGAGCTCCCAAAGTTGCACACGACAGCGACGGCATTAAAATCCAACACATTTCTGCAACTCACAACGTTTCGCAATCGCAATCGCAAAAGAAAATCACCAACTCGCATTCGCCACTGCAACCTTGGAAGACGCATTCCCATGCTCAGCAAAGACAAAACGACGAATTGTTGTTGTTTAGCCGCTTTGGCAGACCAGCAAGCGGCAATTGTTGCTGACATTGTCGCAGTGAAATTATTTTCGCCTTTGCATAAATTTAAAATACAATGAAGTCTGCACTTGTTGTTGTTTGTTGATGTTGTTGCTGCTATTGCTGCTGCTGCTGCCACTGACTGCTGTGGCAACAATTTAATTAAATGGCCCATGGTGGATTGTTGGCTGTAAATACTTCATGCACTTCATGAGCCCGAGCTTTCTGCTTGCTTTTGTGTATGCCTGTGTGTGTGTGTGTGTGTGTGTGTGGACCAGGTTCGCCTTCGCTGCCTCATCTGCATAAGGAAGAGTCAGAGACCCTACGTACATAAATTGCACAATTCACTTGCACATACACACTTGCTTATATGTATATATGTAGGTGTACCTCCTTCCTTCGCCAATTTGCTGCTCATTCAGCGCATTGCCTGCTGCTTCCTCGACTTTTGTTCAAATAATTTTTAGTGTGCGAAGATCAGCTTCTTGCTTACTCTTGCTCTAAGTATTGTTCATTTTTACTCCTGTTGTTGTAGTACAATTGCAGTCCCCACTTTCATTCGCAAGCGTTTCACATTGGTAGGGATCTTCTTCAGCCTCAGCCTCCTTCTCGACAAAACTCCCTTTCGGAGACAGCTACAAAAATATTTCACCGAAGATTTGTTATTTTAACGCCCATCGGGTATTTTTAATTTTGAACACACACTACCGCAGTTCGCAGGCATTTCCACACAAGCATATGCGTATATTTTTAAGCGTAGCATATGCGCCTTTGTCTCCTAGTTTGGGGACGCACTTACGGTAATGACAATTTCTTCGTTCTGTTCAACACTCGGTTCACACATCTTCATTTGCGCTTTGATTCCCACTTGACGGCTGTTGCATGCCACATTTGCCTGCAATTGCATACATATGTGGCACATTAAATCTCTGCCACAAAAAATAGTGGTACATCACTGTTTGTCATGGCAGGTCATGTTCACGCTTAATTTCAATTTTGTTAAATAAATTTGGCTTAATAAAGTGATGCCGCAATATTATGTGCGAAATCTTTTATAAAGATGTTTTTAAATCTCAATTTAGTTGCGGATCGCAATTGATGAGCAGTTGGCAAGTAGGGTTCACAGCGGCCATTTATCAGCTTGTTTTCTATAGTTTGTATGATATGAACATATTCAAAACAATCGGAATTTCAATTTAAATCTTAGGTCTAGGAATTCAAGGAATTTTTTATTGCTTTCAATTTCTCTAGTCAACATCGCCAATATTGAGTTGCCAAAACAAAAAAATACCCGTAAATTTTAGACATAACAATCATAACAAAGAATATCATGATCTTACTCTTAATCATGATATTGATTTTGTTCTTGTTCTTGGTATTATTACTAGTATTGGTCTCGGTTTTGGTCTTACTCTTGATTCTGATCTTGGTCATGGTTTAGTTTTGGTCACAATTTCGGTCTTTGTCTTAATCTTGTCCTTAGTCTTAGTCTTGCTTTTAGTTTTGGTATTCTTGT